AGGACTGCTGATTAGAAGGAGGTTTTTCGGCGATTTTAGCCTTGGATGACGCATGAGAAGTAGAGGATTTGTCCCCAGCCTAGGAAGAAGTGGCATCCTTCGGATTGGGAGCTCGATGGTCAGCTTTTTGACGGTCGTCAGCTCGCTGGCGACCGTCGGTTTTATGTAGATGGTCGGGTTTTTGCTGGTAGCTGTCAGCTTTCTGGTGGCGGTCGACGGTTTTTTGGCGATCATCGGTCTTGGGTTGGTGGTCGACGGTTTTCGAGACGATCGAGGATTTCGCGGCTGATTGAGAAGAGGATTTGTGTAATTGTTGTTGCTGTCACGGTTGTTGAGACTGCAGCTGCTGTTGTTGTTGTTGTTTTTGTTGTTGTGGCTGCTTCTGTTGTTGTTGTTGTTGTTGTAGCTGCTTCTGTTGTTGTTGTTGTTGTGTTCCCTTGGGCGGCAGTGGAGGAGGAGGAGTTTGCCGCGGGGGCGATCGCGGAGGAGGTGGTGGAGTTTGTCGTGGGGGCGATTGCTGTTGCGGCTCTGGCCGAGATCCGCCGGAGCTGGTCGAGCCATCGACCTTATCGCTCGGCAGCCCCTGATTTCTTCTTCAGAGGAACTTTCCTCAGGGGGATGTTAAAACTAGGAGCCTCTACACAAGTACAACAGGGAGACCAAGATAAATATCAGTTTTTCACTTCGACAGAAACAGGAACATACAAGTAAACATTCGAGCAAATGTGTTGAGAATTACCTGGATCGTTGTCAATGCGAACAAGATTGAGAATCTCCTCAGTAGGAGGAGAGAAGGTTTTGTGGGTAAGCAGACCACAGAAGTGGAGAAGATTTTCATCGCAAAGAACTTTTTCAGACTCAACGAACTTGGCATTCCAAGTGTGAATCCGTTGGTCGAAAAGATGGTTCGAAGGAGGGGCCGAGGCCGCCTCTCATGAAACTTCCTTGACCCAGGGAATAAAAGGTTATGGGAAAGGGGCGCTAGGTCGAACAAAAATAAATTTATCGCTCCACTTGGGGAGATTAGAAGGGATGTCGTTAATGAAATGGGCACCATTACGGCTTTTCAGGTAAAGGCCCCGACCTTGTTTAGAAGGGCCATAGCTATAATGAAAGAAATCTAGATCGAATCGACCCAAACGGATATGGCAAAGAATAATGAACGTTCATGAAACGGATAGCATTGGGAGGAAGTTGATGCAGGGGGAGCGAGAACCACTCGCAAATGCGAAGTAGCTCGGGACTCAGGGGAAAGCGGAGACCAAGTTTGAACTGAATCTCAAAAAAGTGTAACAACCCTGTGGAGGGCGATCCTATTTATCTGAGGGAGAAGATCTAAGAAACGCCCAACCGAGAGGCTGGCTGATTTTTTCAGGGTTGAACCAGGGATGAGAAAGGGAAGTAGAAGATGAGCGCTTGGAAAGTTTTTTGGTCGAGGACTGTTTAGGTGGAGAATTTGACGGGGGAGGAGCAGTAGGCTGCGGAGAAATAACCTTGTCCTTCTCTGGCTCGTCTAGCGCACCGAGAGGAGGTCGACGACTGCGGAGGGGAATGTTATCCATGGTATCCCTGAAATTTGAAGAAGCGACGCGGGCTGTGAAAACACGGGTAGGAACTGTATCGCCGGGGCGAAGGATAGAGAGGGGAACAGCTTCGAGCGCAGAGGGCAGTATTTCAACCGAATCAGAGGAGGTCTCAGAGTCTAAAAAAAAATTCAAAACAAAGATAAAAAAGAGCAATATCAAAAAGAAGCCGACGCAAGGAAGAAAGAGGGGAAAAGAAAAATTAGGGTTTTCAGAGAAGGGCAATCCAAAAACCAGAAGAAGAATTCGAGAGGTATGGGGGCAGAAATTTCAAAAATTTTCAGAGGAGAAACAAAATCCACAACATCCAATAATCAGACGAGAGTATTCAACGTACAAATTCAACACAAAACACGCCAATTCAAAATAACTCAGCAGACAGATCGAGAGTACTCAATATTGAAAATCCAGGAACGCACAAAATAGAACTACAAAAAGCACAAATTCAAGTGTGGAAGGACTTACTCATAACCGGGGTCAACAATCGAGAGAAGTTCGGAAGAGTGCAGGAGAAACCGCCGAGGAAGCGAGAATTTTTGCAGAGGACGTCTGGGTACAGAGGAAGGCAACATTGGCGAGGGTGAAAAAAGTTGAAAAATACGCTAAGTATAGAATTTATACCTTGGAAGACTAAAAGGCTGAAAGATAAAAGCCGTTGGATTACAGCTAGATCCTACGGTGGGAGGTGTTAATTCTCGCGGGGTTCAAAACGGACGCGTTAGATGAGGAGGTGAAATAATTAAAGCACCTGACACCTATAGCAGGCGCCTGACACATGCACCAGGCGTGATGCGTGGTAGAAAAGCAGGCCCGACAGAAAGGATTTGAAACAGACGACTTTACTTCTGGCAATTAATGGGAAATTATTTGAAAATGTGAGCGGGAAAACTATTAGCTGGTCGATATTGGATGACGAATCATCGAGGAGGTTGATAAATACCAATTCACTCTTAGATCGAGTCGTCCAGACTCGACCAGAGTGGGGGGTACTAGATGATATGGGATATTATATATTCAAGAATAAACCGGCC